TTCTAGTTTCGTTGAGTATTAAATATTTTCACGGAAGATCGTGATGGTCGCCGTTACGAAATCATAGACGCCATCAAACAAAAATTAATAACTAACAATTTAGAGCCAAATTCTTTACGAAAATTATATAGGAATGCAGCCTGAAGTTCCAGCTTTACAATGCAATTATAAAAGTTCACAAATTGTTTACGGAAATTGAGTAATTAATAATTTTTCACTGCCGGAGCCATTCTATCCTTTTCTATCCCCTCTCTGTCCTTAACTGTCACGTGACGAGTTCTTAGGCGACCTCTTCGCCTATTCTATATTCCTATCACTTTCTTAATTTTTGAGCCCAAATCATAGATGGCGCTGATCGCAAGCGGTAAAAATTTTTAATTTTAAAAGAATTTAAAATCTTAATAAATCAATTCGGCAGTAGAAAATTAATAAATTTCCAAGTTTCTGTAATTAATTCATGAACATTTATAGCTGCACAGCAAAGTTGGAATTGTAGGCAATGTTCTTATACAATGTTTAATTTAATAATTAATACTTACGTGAACGATAGGTTTTGTATTTCCTCTATCTAATGATTATTTATATTTTCGTTTTCTTTCTGTAGTAAATAAGATTGCTATAGAAAATTCTTTTTCTTGCATAATATTTTTATTATTTTGTAATAAATATATACTAACATAGGAAAGCGTAAAAAATCAATATTTTTATTACGAAATTTTATTTATAATTGTTTATTTACAATGTTTTCATAGGCGAAAAATTAATACAAAATAAAAATAGATTGAAAAAAGTATGATGTATGAAGGGGAATCGAACCCCAGTCCTCCGAATAGGAATTCTCGAATGTCACCGATGTGCCACGACTCCACTTAGTGGTATTAAAGATAAATATTTATCTAATGGAATAACAAAACTTTAATCGTAAATATCTCAAAGACTATTAAGTAGTTGTGGCTATAATGATATATTTTCTTAAACTGCATGACGATATCTACAAACCTGCACAATTTCAACTAAATTGGTGACTCGAAGGACTTGCACTTTCCTTGTTAGTTTTCCTCCACTGTTGTCAATTGTAAGAGACAAATAATTTGAAGAGAGACAAAACACCAACATTACTCTCCGTTATTACAAATTACACCGAAATTATTTCGTCTATGTACAGTCTATAAAAAACAATTAAAAGTAAAAAATTATGAATTGGCTTATAATCTTGTCATGTATACTACTTTTCAAGAAAGGAATGTGTCTTCAAAATTGTTATCCAAGCATAGGTAAGTAAAAGAGTTTGTCGATTAACATAAGATTTAAATTATTAAAAGAACTAATATTAAAAATGTATAAATAGAATAAACTAATTTTTTTGTATATCTAAGACATAAGGAGTGTAAATTTATTTTAAATAATGAACAATATTATTTTTGCATTTAATAAAATATTCCTGGTAAATTATTGTTTCTTCTAAGTTAAAAATTCTTTTTTCAGCAATTATTGGAGGTGGTATTGGTGGTGCAGCAACTTCGCATTTTCTTACAAAATTGTTTAAGAATAATGTTTACATCGATTTATACGAAGTAAAAACTATTGGTGGACGTTTGGCTACAATAAAAATTGACAATAATGAATTTGAAGCTGGTGGTTCAATTATACATTCTGAAAATAAATATATGCAAGAATTTGTTAAACTACTTGGTATTTTAGTATATTTTTACATATTTGTAGATATATTTTATAAAAATATAATGTATTCTTATTTTTTTAAGTGTATAAATTTATAATTGGCTTAGGTTTAAAACACAGACCATCTAATGATCAAAGAACAAGTATTTGGAATGGCAACGAAATTATATTTGAAGAAAGTGAATGGAAAGTATTATCATTAGCTAAATTAATTTATAAATATGGTATACAACCATTTAGTCTTAACAGGTATTATATATATTTGAATATGAACACAAAAGTATAAATACATAAATAATACATCTAGTAGTGTCCATTTTAGAAGTAGTGAGCTTTAAACATATTGACTGAGATAAACTGCCAAACAAAATTTGACACAGTTCTTTTTTGGTTGTTTTGAATCTATACATTCATCTCTTCTTCTTTTTTCAACTAAATTCGAGGAAGTCACTTGTGCACATAATACTAAAATGGACACTATTGTATATATATAAAAGATACAAATAAAAAGTACACTAATTTTAAGCAGATATGTGACTTCTATATTGGATGACTTTAAAAAAATATATCATTTACAAGATGTTGGGAAAACTTTTACAAATATTAGTAGTCTTTTATTATCTATGAATATTGATTTTCCAAATTTGTTACAAAAGTCTATTAAAGATAACCTTTTAAATCTGGGTTATTCAGAAAAAGTAATTGATGAAATTGTTAAAACAACATTGGTGGTAAACTATGGACAAGATACGAATATTCACAGTTTTGTTGGCATTGTATCTTTAGCTGGAGCAGGTTTTAATTTATGGTCTGTTAAAGGAGGGAACAAAAAGGTTCTTTTTCTGTTAATTTTATAAAAAATATGTTTCTATTTTATAGCTATTAATATATCAATATTTTAGGTACCAAAATATTTAATATATAGGAATAAGTATGTAAATGTTATAGATTCACAGAGAGTACTTAAAATTGTGAACGTTCCAAGAACCTATATGCCAAATATATATGAAGTACACTTTTACCAGCAAGGTATAATATACCATTAATAAATGATGTCTGTATTATGATTAAATAATTCTCATTTTAGGTAAATCAAATGTAATGGTAGGAGCATATGAAATCGTAATTCTGGCAATTCCGCTTACACATGATCAGGAATATCCTATAACTTTTGAAGGATTTCCAAAAAACGATTTTTACAATCTTGGAAAATATCATAAAACTATAGCTACATTTGTTAAAGCAGATTTAAAACCCCACTACTTTGGTTTACAAGAAGAACTAGATGCTATTTTGAGTTGTAATCCTAATAAAACAATAGTTAATTCCCTAGGAAGATTAAATTCCGTAGAAGGAGTAGCAGAAAATAGTAAAGTTTGGAAAATATTTAGCAATAAACCTCTAACATCGAAAATTATACAAGAAATGTTTTCAAATGTAAGACCATTTTATAATCTTTGTGTAAATTGTAATACATATTGTAAAATGTAAAATAAAACTTATCTAACATGTTTAAGGTCCAGAATATAAAACAAATTACTTGGAATGCATATCCTGAGTATTCAACAGGAATCCATGAAGCAACATTTAAATTGCATAAGAGGCTCTATCATGTTAATGCTATTGAATGGATTGCTAGTGCAATGGAAATGAGTGCAATAAGTGCAAGAAATGTTGCATTATTAGCACATGAAGATTATACTGTAGAATTTTGTTCTTAATCTATACATTCTTGTTCTATTTTTTTTAAATTCTCATATAGATATAGATTTATATCTAGATCTCACAAATTGTTAATGTTTATTGTACATACAAATGCCAAATAAAGATCAAATACAACTGTTCATACCCTGTATATTAATAGTGAGAAAATCCAAATTTATTTAAACAATAACAAATATATTAAAAACCTTTTTCTTTATAATTATCTATTATCACTATCTATATGCATTTTTAATTATGGCTTCAACTTATGAGGTTAGTTTCGATTTTCTTCTAAATAATCTTTTGATTTTTTTTATAAATGGTATGCTCAAAAAATTAGCAGTAGATATTGAATTTAGTACGTAAAAATAAATGTGAAAAAAATAAGGGCAAGTTAGAAATAGACATCAGTCTATTTCCATTACAAGCAAAAGTGTAAAAGGAAAACTTCCAATAAGTATTTAATATGTAATAAAAATAAAACTCAAATCAAAATCAAATTTTATTCATAAACCCAATCATATATATTCATAACATTATATTTAAAATGAGTAAAAAAATAACATACTTATTATAGACGGTTAGTTAAACCGCTGGAGAGAAATAAATCAATTTAATTAATAATTGAAAACGCATAAATCGTCAATACTTTCACTAATTAAACATCAGATTCTAATTGAAAGGTACATGACACGAGAAGATCATAGATCATGTACGAAGGAAAATAGAAATAAATAAAAATTAAGAGTGCTATCACAAACATCCTATGATAATTAAGGGTTAATGTATATTCATTTTAGTTTTTATTATTCTATCCAACATGAATGTATACTGTAAAAAGTAATATATTATAGAAGTAAAATAAAAAATATTTTTTATTTCAAGTACACACATATAAAGAGTTAAGTAGAAACGATCGTATAGTAAACATATGAATTATCTATAAGTGAAATCACATACTATTTTATAAAAATGCAATTATAAAGGGTTTTAAGTAAAGAATCGTGTATTAATATCAGTATCGTTTTTAAGCTTTTTATACGATATATATGATATATTAAAGCTAAAATTATTACAAATCCAATAGTTTTTGGGAATATAACCTATTGAATCACTAAAGGAAAAATACAAATGTCAACATTATACGAATCTGACATGTAGAAGAATGTAATCTCTCCTGCAAAGTTGTGCGTAATCTTGTAAACATTTTATTTGAAAAAAAAAAACTGTATGTAATGGAAAATCATTCCGTTCGTATAAATTACACATTAACACCCCGCGACACAGAACAACCATTAATAGATGATTGTGAAACTAAAGCATATGAAGAAAATATTAAAAAACACGAGGAAACAGCTATAACAAGTGAAGCAATGGGTAGTTCATTTTGTCCCAGAGCTATATTATTCTTGTTATTGTGGTACCTCATCAGTGGATGTACTTTATTCTTGAATAAATACATATTATCTTATATGAATGGCAATCCCATAATTTTGGGTAAACTATTATCTAATCTAAATTAATATAAAATTTTGTATTTGATTTATTAGTAGAATAAGAATACTAAAAGTTTTATTAAAAGAGGTTTTGTACTTTAATTAGTAATTTAAAAATTCAAAGTTTTAAATATTGGATATTCATGTTTTTAATATAAAATATTAATTTATTTAAATAGGAGCTTATCAAATGTTAATAACTACAGTTTGTGGATTTATACAAATGTATTTTCCATGTGGAATGTATAAAGTACGTTCCAGATTAATGAGACCAGCAGGTTTCTACAAGCATATGATATTAGTTGGATGTACGAGATTTACAACTGTAGTATTAGGATTAGTGTCGCTTAATTATGTAGCAGTGAGTTTTACAGAAACTATTAAAAGTAGTGCACCACTTTTTACTGTCCTTATTAGCAGATATTTATTAGGTAAGAATCAATTTATAACTATATTTTATTTTGAATTACTCATATAATTTTTTAATATATGTTCATATCTGTAAAGATTTTTTAGTTACATACAATTCTTCATTTAAAACATTTAATACAAATAAAATTTTTATTTAAAAATTATATTTAATAATTATATAACAATTTTAATGTTATTTCCAGGAGAACATACAGGATTATATGTAAATCTATCTTTAATTCCTTTAATGGGTGGTTTAGCATTATGCTCGGTAAATGAAATTAGTTTTGATCTCAGAGGATTTATTGCTGCTATGGCTACGAATGTAACAGAATGTTTACAAAATGTTTATTCCAAAATGTTAATCAGTGGTGATAATTTTAGATATACGTAAGTATATATAGTTTAGTATGAAATATTTTGTAGAAAAATATTATTAAATATAATTAAATTTAATATAATTTTTTACAATTAATAATATGAAATTACAGGCCTGCAGAACTGCAATTTTATACTAGTTTAGCATCAATTGTGGTACAAATACCAGTGTTGATTTTATTTGTAGATTTACCAACACTTGAACATTCTTTAAGTTTTAAATTGTTCATGGCATTTCTGCTTAATGGAGTATTCTTCCATTTTCAAAGTATTACTGCATATGTACTTATGAATTACATAAGTCCTGTGACACATAGGTGTGTTTTTTACTCTATTTTTATATAAAATATTTATATTAACAAGACATTTTAGAATTTAATTATTAACAATATTTTGGTTTTATTATAGTGTTGTTAATACAGCAAAGAGAGCTTCCTTGATTTGGTTCTCTGTTTTACTCTTTAACAATCCAGTAACTGGTTTGTCAGCTATGGGAACATCTTTAGTAATAATAGGAGTATTATTGTATAATCGAGCACAAGAGTATGATAAGTTAAACAAAGCAAAATTATGATACAATTCTAAAGTTAATTTGCAATAATTTCACTTATTAAAATTACTAAGATTTGATATTTAATAAAAATAGATACTTGCATTAACTACATAATGAAAAATTAAACCAGATTTAGTATTAACTTTTGTAATACAGTATTTTATTCATTACAATGACAAAACATATACAATTTCAATTGAAATATGAAATAAAAGTATGTTTTGCGTTTTAGGTACATTTTGTAATGAAACAACTTTAACTGAATACTTATAATGGTACAAATTTACACAATCATAAAAGTTATATTATACATCAAATATAATATAAATGAAAGAATAATTAATCTTTCAATAGATTAATGAATATATATGTAGAATTTTCTTAAATTGATATAGATTATTTATTTATAAATATTTAAATATATTCCAAAATAACTTTTCATTTTATTAAAATATTTTATTTTATTCTAATTTATAAATTCTATTTGAGTTGAGTATTTATTTTTTTTGTGATTATTTTCGTATAATTTTTGTAATATACAGCTTAAAGCGTTATTATAAATTTCTTTAAAACTTGTTTATGTTAGTTAATATTGTAAAACATTATGCTATCTTTTTCATGTAAAGAATAAATTATATAAAAATATGTAAGATGTTGCAGTAAAAGACTAAATTATATACGTTCATTATGAAACATTCAAACGTTAATATAGAGTGGAATGTTAAAATTTGAATGGCAATAAATCTTCATAAAAATAGATTAACTTTGGTTTGTAACGATGAAACGTTAAGCATTATATGCAACCAATATAATTTTCTATTAGTTTTAAACTATAATATTTTTCACTATGTTAATATATTCATTGACTAGCTTTAAGAGCATAGTCGAGGTCAGCTAAAATATCTTGTTCTGTTTCAAGACCAACAGACAAACGAATTAACTGATCATTAATGCCTGATGATATTCTAACTTCTTCAGGAATCGAAGAGTGAGTCATCACAGATCTATATAGAAAGGTAAAATAATAAAAATTATGAAAAAGCATATACGTTTACATATAATCATGATAAACTACTATTTACTTACGGTAACTCAGCAAGAGATTCATAACCACCAAGTGATTCTGCTAATGTAAATACTTTTAATGCCTTTAGAAATTTGTAAGAGTCACCTTTTAGATAAAATGAAACCATTCCACTATGACCAGATGTTTGTTTAAGGGCAACTGAGTATTGTGGATGTGAGGGAAGATCTAGAATTAAATGAATTATTTTAGATATGTCATATGCAAAAAAATATAAATATAACAAAAAAATATCAATAGAATAATACTTAATAGTAGAGAACATAATTTAGTAGTAGTACTACATTTTACTAAAACTTTTACCAAAAATATATGATATATATAAGAACATGTATGAACATGAAAGTGAAATTTAATGCTTCATATAAATACATACATGGATGTATTACTTTTTCTACGTATGGATGAGATTCTAAAAACTTTGCAACAGCTAATCCATTTTTCATGTGTTGCTGCATTCTAAGTTCCAGAGTTTTTAAACTGCGATTAACTAGGAAACAATCTAAAGGTGATGGAACAATACCCATAGCTGAAACAATTAATAAACTAAAAGTTCATTTTTGTACATATGAATAGGATTAAAATAAAAATTATAATTTCTTATGCAAAAGTACCATTTTGTAAAAATCTAATTTTTTCAGCAATATCATCTCTACTTGTAATTGCTGCACCCATAATAACATCTGAATGTCCATTTATATATTTTGTCACAGAGTATACTACAATATCTGCTCCTAACTTTAATGGTGTCTATAACAAAATATACAGTATAAATTATTTATTTAATTATGTCATAGCAGTGAATAAAAAGCATTACTCACTTGGTAATAACATGTTAAGAAAGTATTATCCACTACCACAATAATTTCAGGATTTTTTTGTTTTACTGATTGAGTAACAGCCTGAATATCAACTAATTTAAGTAAAGGATTAGTTGGTGTCTCTAACCAAATCATCTAAAAAAATATATGAATATATATTACATATCATTTAAATAGAATCACAAGTTATATTTATTAAGGTGTATAATTAAATTTCAAAATTTGCTTATACCTTTGTGTTTGGTTTTATATTGGTTATAATATTGTTAACATCTACCATATCAACAAATGTGATTGGAATATTTTGTGTAGATAAACACTTTTGAAAAAAACGGTAGGTTCCACCATAAATATCATCTCCAGATATAATATGATCTCCTGCATTTAATAATGAAGTTAATACTGTTGTAGCACCCAAACCAGATGAAAATACAAATCCATATTTTCCATCTTCTAGAGCAGCTAAACATGTTTCTAAGACAGTTCTTGTAGGATTGCCACTTCTTCCATAGTCAAAGCCCTAAAGCAATATACAACATTAACAATTAATAAAATGATTAATTAGACATTAATTATATAAAATATTTTTTAAATATCTATTATAATTTTATAAATTACAATTATTAGTAGTTGCTTAATAATATAATTAATAATCAAAGTGTAGTATTATAAAACTTATTAACAATTTGTTAGATTAAAACTTTTATATTTTAAAAGAAGAATTTACTCTAGTTTGTCCAGGTGCATCCTGACGAAAAGTAGTGGATATCACAATAGGAGGTATTACTGCACAATGATTCCATTGCAATGGATCTTGACCAGCATGTATAGCTTTTGTAGAAAAACCCGTATCTATTGGCATTCTGTTAAATGGATTTATTTAAATATCTATTATATTTTAATTAAAATAATTTATAATCAATGAGTATAATTTTTTACTGAATAAAATAAATTTTTAATGATGAAATATTACTGGCAATGAAATTTATTATATTGATACTGATGTAATACAGTACATACTGATGTACACATTTTGATGCAAGTTACATCATAATCATTCATGTGGCAATGAATATTGTTTTCTTTTCTCTTTTTCTAGGTAAAATATTTTTATAAATGATGTGGGATTTAAATTGAAATTAATTATTTTGGATATGTCATTATCAAACAATAAAATTTTTTTGCATTTGAAATTAAAGAATATTACTTACTTAAATAAACAAATTTTAAATACAATATAAAAATGGTAGATTACTAACAAAATCAGTAGTTGAACAATTCAAAATTTATATAAAATCGAACAGTTTTTGCAACACGTGATTTTTCTAACGTTCAGTACAAAATGATGATTCTACATATGGTAAGGTCTATTTTCTATCAACTTACACACTAGACGTGTTAATGATCACTGCATTATCACTGATGAAAGAAATTGCTTGTTCTTATGTAGAAATTTTGTGTACGTCATAATTTCGCGATATCGAATTATATTGTATTATCGAGATATCGTTATCGCAATTCAAATGTTATAAAACAGGAATAAATATTGATTATTAATATACAGTAATAATATTAAATCTCTTTTTAAAATTATTTTTCAATACTTTTTTTAAGAAAATAATAATTTATTATTTCAACTCTCTTATAACAATTTACAAGTGCTATTCCCAATAATCTTTATAGCACAATTTAACTGTATTATTCTTTTCTATTAATTTTCCTTCTTAAATATTAATATTAATTTAGTATTTGAAAGTAAAGCTATTAAAAAAATTATAATTTTTTTGTAATAAGATATATTGTAACTTTAAATTTTTAAAAATATCTTTTACTTGATAAAAAGTTATTAAACATGGCGTCACATTTTATTTTTAGATTACAAAATTTTCATTTATAATTTAACTAAAATATTGAAAACAATAATAATTTAACAGATAATACACATTCGTAATTCCAAAAAATAACACTGGTCTTCATCTAGTTCTTATAGACGGCAAGCATGCCGACCAATGCGATACGTTCCCACCACAATTAAATCGATATTTACTCGATTATTCGACGAGCTATCAACCTTCCGTGAGTGAAGTTTTTTCGTCTATCGAATTATTTTGATTAGTATACAAAATACCATTTTTGGAGAAAATAATTCTGTGAAATGAAGAGAGAAAAAGAAATTATTTCATTATTGTTGTTATTTCTTATAAATCTTGTACATAGTGATACGATTTATAGTTTTATAAATGGAGAGGATCCTTGCATTAATTTGTGCGAAAAAACACTCTTGTCTTTTACAAATGTAAGTGTTACTTTAGTGTAGATGCTTTTATGTTTCATATTACAAACACATATATTAATGATCATGAAAACATTCATTAATTTTAGAGTAAATATGTTAAATCATGCTGTCAACGAGGATGTAGATTCTTCAATTTAGTGGATTTACATTATGGATTAGAACCAAATAGCTTAAATGGTACTAGGAATGCTTGTGAAGCTTGTACGTAAAATATAACAAATATAATAGTATTTGAGTCAAAATTTAACTTAATTTTTTTATAAAATAAAATATTGGATTATGTAGTGTTTAATATAATTATTCATTAATAAGATTCTTTTTAGAAAGTTAATTAAAGTAATATATAATTAATTTAATCATTTCTAAAAAGTTATTAAAAATTATTTTAACTAATAAATTACCAAACAATTATTAACATTTTTTTATTTTGTTATAGCCTGTACAGAAGCATATATAGTACCACAAGATTGTTATGCATGTAGCATTGGTTGCAATATTATGGCCAATCAACGTGTTTCATATTTAATGTCATTTTTCTCTGTTGCTGACTATGTAGAGGAAGGTGTAGATTCTAATTTACTTGTAATATCGCCTGATATACCTGAAAATGATATTTTGAGTGATCCAGGTTTGCGAAAAGAACTCCTTCCAGGATGGTGGGATTTTAATGGATTTAAATTGCCGCAAACATATATCAAGACTGTTCCATTAGATGCTGGGGTAAGTTATAAGTTAATAAAGACATATATACATAGATGCTTGTACATCTATGTATATGTGCACATATATGTATATCAACAAATAAAAAAGTTTGTTACAAGTTTAATATTTACATTTTGTAAATATATTTCATTTTATTTTAATTATGAAATGTTTATCTTACTTTAGAAATTTTATTTTATGTAGAATGTATTTATTATTCAAATGAATTTTTATGATAAATCATACAAATTTGATTGATAAACAATATGATAAAAATGTAGACAGTGGATTATGGTGCACCATCAGACTACTCTGGAGAAAGTGACCAATCAGCTTCAGTACCTGGATCTGATTGGCTTCAATGTGCCTCAAAACATATTGGATTACCACATTGGCTTCTAGCCTCTGGTATTGCAGCAGCAGCATTGTCTGCAGTTTGGTTATGTTTGTATCCAGAAAAGCTTACTGACCCTTACAAAGAAATCCTCATTGAAAAATCTGATATTTCTCCAACAATTGCATTATATGGACCTGAAGCACCATTACATAAACAGCCACCTCCTAAATATTTTGATAGTGTCAATCCAGCAGAATTGAATATGAAAGTTTAGCTAGGTGCTTTAATTTTATAATTTTCTTAATAACTTCGAGAAATATTTAAATTTTAGTATGCTAAAGCAGTTTCAAATAAATTGTTTATGTTATGTATAATAGGTTTTTATAAATACTGCAATTATGAAGAAGTAACTGCACTTTCAGTTTTCAAAAAAGTTACATATGGAAGGTAAGCTCCTAAAAATATATATGTAAAAATAATGCTTTAAGAAGTTAATTGAGATTTTTAAACATACAAGGACTAAAATCAAAGTAAATGATAAAATAGGCAACAAAATATTTTCAGGGGAAAATTTATGATAAAATATAAGCTTATATAATGAAATTATTTTGTATAGAACAATACTGGTTTTTTTTTATAATAGAAAGTAACAGTTTTTATTATTATTTCTCTTTTTTCAATAGATAGAAAAACTGAAATCAGTACTGAATTAAAATCTGCAAAGTAAAAAAGCGATATGTACACATATAAGACTGCAAATTATGTATTTTAATAATAATTTAGTAAGAATTAAACGCTTTTATACTTGCATCCACATATTATTTTGTTAAATATGATGTACAAATATAAAAAGAGTTTATTTATAATCATTGTGATTTAATTATACTTGGAAAATTTTGCTTTATTACTCTTATATTGGTTAAGTATTTTAATAATGATACTTTGCTTTATATAAAAAATAGATGATTGTTTATTTTAAAGTATTTGTATATTTAATATATGCACATATTTTTCTTTATTTTTTATATTCAATATTATAGTACAATGAAGTAGAAATATGAAGATAATAACATTTGGAGTAAAAGGAATATATTTGTGAAAATTATAATCAAAAACTTATTTTGATGACTTTTCTCAAATTTTATTTTACATAACGAAAATATGAAATATTGCAATTATGGAAATAAATATAGTACAATGTAGTTGAAGAAACTCTAAAATATTAATATATATTCTTCAAATATTATGTTATATTACATAATAAATGCATAAGAACTTGTCATTGTAACTATTAAAATATAATTCAAAACTTTTTCATATTACATTTTAGCTGCATTATGCAAAAGTATATAAATTTGATATTTTCTCTGAATAGGCAAATCAATGTATAATTACATAACCAATATAAGATATCATTTATAAATATTTAAAGAAACATCATAATGTCTTTATCTTTTATATTAGGACATTATGAAGCGTTAAATGTGCAATGCCTCACCATTTAATGTAATTTAAATTAGAAGCAATGAATAGTTATACAATTGCTAAGATTGTTTGTGTTTCAAAAAGTACTATTTTCATATTACTATCATGTTAAAATTTTAAAATATATCATGGTTTTAATTAGTATAAATACTATGAACACAATATTTAAATAATGCATACTTTGTCTATACTATATATTATTAGAGGAATTCATTTAACTAAAAATTTGGTTGTGTACAAAACAAATGGAAAAATGATTATGAATCTTCATTGTTTTAAAAGGAATTTTTAAAATTATTCGAAATATTGATATCTTAGCAAAAATTATAATAGTAACTGAAGTTAAATGTCCCTTTTTAATAACATAAAATGGTGTATAAGAAAGTATATTTCAAACCAAAGTATCATGTTCCTTATATAAGATAGTGCTAATTTACTGTACTATTAATATTTGTTATATCACTACACATTGTAAAAAATAAAAAAAAGTGATAAAAAGGTATGCAGACAGTATTTATTATTGTACTCCATGTCCGAACTTTTATTCAAACAGAACAATTTTTAGAATTTTCGAGACAAGAAAAATTTAAAACAAGAATTTATCTTTAACATGTAACAAGTGGAAAGATTAGCACCTTGTAAAAATATTAATTACAATCATTGAACATAAGTACATTTTACCATATTAGTAAGGTTTACATTAATGGTAAGTCATTTAATGAATGTTGTTTAAGACTATTAAGTTTAATTTGTACAAAAAACAAACAACAGTTTCCAGTTTTTTTTTTATTATTCTTTACGTTATTTATCGATATTTTAAAATTCTCTTATGGTAAGGAATTATTTTTTTAATTCAAGATAACTATAATATGTACAGCATGAAAAAATATCTCGAATCAAAAAAATATTCAATTCTTAAATATGAAAAGGATCGATCTGTACAGTATAATTAATATTTAACTTTGTTTAAATATTATCCTAATCTTAAGTATTTAAAGCATTTACAGCCAATAAAGTTTTGGATCATCTCTTCGCACTTGCAATTTTAATACATGTCTGTATATTTTTAATGCTGGACCTAGAAGTAAATCAAGTCCACTTAATACATCAGATCGTTTCATTAACAATAAAGAATGGCCATCAATGTCCTGAAATATATACCAGTATATAAAATATTTGACAATAGATATCAGATAACAACAAGATTCTTGAAAAATAGATAAGATGTACCTGTTGCCTAAAGACCTCAGCTTCTTTTGGAAAAAGTCTTGCAAAATATTGATATACTTGCTCAGATGTCCAATCTGAAGCATCAGGTATATTTGGATCAATTCCATCTCTTGGACCATCATCTTCCATTTGATCAGAAGATCCCCTGGCAGGAGAAACTTGAGGACTTAAAACTGGAGGTAATACAGGAGGATTTGATGGTGTATCAGGTCTGCTGGTAACCACATTAATATTTTGGTTTATGTTTGTTTTATATTGCTTTTGAACACAATCATTACATTGCCATTTTGAATTTGATTTAGGAATTATTATTCGTGGTGTATGACAATAATAATGATAAGCTTCATCACAAGTAAAACATGTTGCAAGTGGTCCCTGTGAAATCAAACTACATTACAATATGGAAAAGAAGAAAATAATGTATTTTTCACTTACAGCATCAGAAGTTTCACAACAAATTGTACAACTTTTGCAACGTTCACACTGCCAATTACTGCCTGCTTTTTGAATCATTTCTTCTGGACTATAAATACAACTTGGATGTGCTGTAAATAAATAAAAGTTTATTAGTTTGTTAATTTAAGAATTTTATCACATCTTCAAATGATAATACCTCGTACAGTACAATCACGACAAGCAACTAAATTTTCTTGCTTTTCTTTGGCACAAAGACTACATTGTCTACAAGGTCCATCTTTAACAACTGTTTTAGAAGAATCTTGAGATTCTTGAGATATAGAAGACTTATTTTGTGAACCTGGTTGTCTCCCACGTTTTCTTTTTACAAGATTATTGTCAGAGGGATCAAACACTTTTTTTGCTCTCTGAAATTGCAAATTTTGTTAATTTTGTTAATTTTGTTAATTTTGTGTAATATATATCAATATACATATATATTTACATTAAAAATCTTATGGTAGCCATTATAAAAAAATACACACACCTTTCTACGAGCACTACGAAAACCGCCAACATTAGTGTTAGATGGTGTAGGTGAAGGATTAGTGGAACTTCTTCCCGCATCTTCGTCCTCTCGTTCTTCGCTAAGATGTCCAGTCTCTTCTCTCTTTTCTTTTTGTGAATTTATTTCATCTTTATTATCTTTCCGATAGTCTTCAAATTTGATCTCTATGTCCATAGGATCGTCCGTTCGAACAAGTAGGCGCTGTTTACGTTCAGCTTTCGACGACCTTTTAAGGTTATGAGTCTGAGTATCCGTATTTTTGGATTCTTCTTTTACATCTTCGACGGAGGTTTGTGATGGTTCTTGTGATTCTTGTTCTTTTACAGAATCGTGTTCTACCGGAGATTTGGTATTTTCGTTTCTTCCTACGATTATCTCGTAACATTCTTCTTTCCTAATTTGTGGATCAGATTTAGGGCTTGCTTGCCGCGAAGATCTCGGTGTATTTGACCTAGAGTCCGTAATTGTCAAGTTTTCTGTCTCGTCAAAATCATATAGACCACCTGTGGTCGAGGAAACAGTTTGTAATTCCTTACGTCGTGCGTTTCCATTCTCGAGGGTAAAAGATTCTCGATGCGCTGGCTCAGCGGTGGTTGTCATATCAGACGTCGCCACCAGCGAGTAATTGCCGTTAGAGAGACGCGTCAAATTACCACTGGCCACTTCTTTTCCCAAAAAATCTTCTACCATTCGTCTAGAAGTAGGATTAGAGACACCATCGAGCAACTGTTCAATTAGTCTATAAGCTGGTACACCTTGATCAAGGTAATCCGGCTCCTCGACAACGAGTTCAGCAACGGCACCCGCCACCATCCCGGAGTTCAATTTCTCTTTTACGAAACCCTCTGGTCGGTTTTTGTAAAGTTGTAATCGTGACCATTTCGAAGCATTTCGGTAACTGGTGTTACCCTTATAGTCAACCTGTATGACCTTTTCTGCTTCGATTAACCGATGAAGATCGGCGATGGTATCTCGAGCATCTACAGAAAATTTCCGTAATAGGTAATTGCAGATACGATCAGCATCAGGTCGCGCCTTACGTCTTCGCAACTGATCTATTGCCTCCAGGATTTGCTCCTCGTGGAGTATTTGTGTTTCTACTCGATGTTGCTGCATTATTATGCGTCGATGAAACCTTCTGTTCCACAATAAAATATCTGACGATTTATATATGTGTGACGCTTAAAAACAGCGTAAAACTGATATAAATTACTTTCACGATACTTTCTGCACGTTTTTACAGTGCTTGCTGCATTCGCGCGTGATGTCATAACGACCGGCAAAATTCTATATGTTGCGCGTGTACATCCGCTTCTATTTTATCACTTTGTTGGCTTACGCATAATCTTCATTCCCTTTTCAAAATTATTCTTGCGACATAACATACGAACGAAAGTGTTGTAATCAAACACCTATCATTGTTGTGTAAATATCGAAAGTTCTTGATTACCATTCGAAACAATAGGTAGATAAAATGTCGATCATTCTTACGGTAGAAACAGTCCGCACCGTATCAAGCGCAGAATCGTTCTTACACATATAAACAAGTTCAAGTAATATGTTACAAATAAAAGTGTATACTCCAATATCTTTTTATGTACACGATTGTCCTTTTTTTTCTTTTATATAATTTTATGAACGTATTAGCCTACATGAAAAAATAACACAACCGAAGAAACTCGTTAACGTGATGTAATATTATCGATTGCACGGATCGACGAAGTCAATAATGTGCGAAATCTATGGCGCATTCGGAACGCGCGAAATGTCTGCTGAATGTTTGGCAATTAATTACCAAGTAGAGCGATTAAACGCGCGGCTCAGAATGAAGCTCACGAATGATCAGCTTCTACCGTTTTGTCTGCTACCGGGAGAGAATTTCGAATCGCGTACCGCAGCTGCGCTGATCCATTGTTGGACTGAAGCCGAGAGGTGTACACGACGAGAGGCAATCTGACAAAGTCAGGTCGTCCGCCGTTGCTGGATCGAACATCGAACTGCAGCGCGACGCATTTCACACCCTTTGCACGCACTTTGACGACGTTAGGATACTTTGGTGTCCACGTATGTAACTTCCTTCCGGTAAACGTCGTGAGTTACGATTTAAAATTCGAACAAATCGTTATCGAGGTATCGCAATACCGAACAAAGAAAACGGTCTTCGTATTGGTTGGAAACTGCTTGTTCTCCGTCTTTTGTTTCGCTCGTGAAAATGCACCGATCCATGTACCCATAAATAATGTCTTCTTTACGGGGACGAAACGGGATAATCGGGGAATAATTGCACTACATATGTGCCAAGTGACCGTCGAATGTCTTCGCCACGCGCCAATCGTTGAACAACGAATATCTTTCCTCTCTTGCTGATCTCTCTCTCACCGACTGACAAGTTTTCCACAGTGTTGGATCTCTCTGCAAGCGCGCTTCGCGACAGGCCACTTCGATACACGCGACCAAACGACGACGATTCCACAGTCCTTACGAATGTGCATGCTACACGAATGTATCGTGCTTACGTGTATGTTACGTGCGTATACGTACCACGCGGGATATATCGCCGCCGGTTGCGTTCCTCGTATACATCTATACGCGTTGACACTGTGCACAGACTGCTCACTAAATCTTTCGTCGATCTGTCGTCTCTATCATACGCGATGACACATACGAGAATTCCAAGAATGTCGATAAGCTTAGACAATTGTATCGCACAATAGCTACCGCAGCACACCATGAACCTGCAAGACGCGGTCTTTTCCGGAGGTAGCCTCGGCGCGCGCCAGCCTCTTTTCTTACTCCCGGTTCGACCGGCCAAAAATTCTCACGAATTCACACCTTCAAAAACAGTAATGCACGGTTACAAACTGCTTTTATGTATTTGACGTACACATTTTTATAATTTCCAACGTCGTTCCAACACTTTCGCGAGCATTGCGTACTTCAATGTAGCGCAACGCGTGAGACGCGCTCTTTTTCTAGAGGCGGCCTCTCGTGCGCGCCGCGCTAGCTCTGCTTGTACAGAACGCCCAAAAAGATCGAACTCAGAGAAACTGTGACGCACTTCACCTCACTGGTACTGTCACTTCCGACAATTCTCAAAAAATCGTTTGCATCTCCGATTAACTTTTTTTGCAGCTACTTCTACAAGTTATTTCGGCAAAACTAAAGAGCGCCAAGCCGGGTGCGGCTACACGCGAGTGTGGACGGACCGCCGCTGGAGTACGGAACACGCGGAGCGCACTTTTTGCGGGGACGGGTCCGTGCAGGTGCGGCAATGCCTTTGTTAGCACCCTACAGGAACCGGCTTCTGCGCATCGCTTTCACCAGTTTATCGTCTCTTCTTACAACACTTTTCTCTTTCTCCAATTAACTATTATCATTTAACTGTACCGTTTTGTTGCCCCTTTATTTATGTAATTCAATTAACAAAACACATTTGTTTTTAGATATTGATTCATTTTTACGCAAAAAATTTAGAAATTTTATTCTTGACAGTTGTTTTTTTTAACATATCTTACTATATATTCGTCAAAGTATTATTGGTTGATAAAATTGAAGGATAATTTGATATATATGCATTTTAAATAAGATGTATTTTTCGCAAATTTTTATTGAAATAAAAGTATGCCTCGTAGCAACATTTTTTTCACGATTTACGTATGATACGTTACTGCGTTTGTGATTTTAGAAACGACCGTGACGTATCGGCCATTCCCGAGCGCTGCTGTCCTCGTTCCCGGCCGAGTAGCTCCCTTTTGAGCCTGTTTTCAGATCGACGGATCTGACGCAACAGATCGTAAGCAAATCTCGAGATATGTTGCTTTGGTACATTTAAATATTCTTAATATCTAGTAATTGTTTTTAATACTAATAATTCATGGATTTTATTTGAAATGCATAAAGTTAGGCTTTTTAAAAATATTAAGGAAATCAGTTTACAAATTTTTAATTATGCAAATATACATGTCTGATGTATAACAGAATATATTACAGTACTATACATTTAATATTTTTTATATTTTCATATAAAAAAATTTTAAGTATCATTTTTACCTTAAAATAATAATTATACTATGCAATACAAAATAGAAAGGAAGATAGAAAATGATAATTATTTTATGTTCCAAATATTTTATTGCAAAACACAAGTGTGATAAATATAAATGTAAAAAATACACATGTTGTGACAAATCTTACTTATGTTTAAGAACACAACCATCATTAATTATAAAAAAAATTTTATAACTCAAATATAAGCGTTTTCTTTGTCTATCACATTAGTACCAATACTGTGCCGCCGAAGTTTTGAAATCTGTTAAAACAATAATTCGTTATTAAATTACTACCTTCAAATACGACTGATTTATTACTATTATGATAGAATATTTTACAAACCAAATTCATCGGCTTTACTTTATAAACAAGTTTGTTATTTTCCCTCAATGGACTTTGTTGCGTATTATTTTCGTTTTTTTTTAAAGAAATCGGCGAATTTTTTTGTGAATTCGATTTCTTATGTATTGAACGTTGTGGGGATTCATATAAACGTTTGTATTGATTAACTTCAAATGAAGAATTTAATCGTTTACTTATGGGAGGTGTTTGTGATTTTGGAATACCAGATTCTATCGGGCGACGTTTAGGCGTTGTTTTCTTTGGAGATGGTAATTTATTACTTCTAAAAAAATTAATTAATTTCTATTCTTATATCAGTTATTTTTTTATGTTAGAAAATTAAATTTACCTTCGTGGACTATTATTTGTTCGATTATTACTATTAACATTTACACGTGTAGTTACTGGTGAAATGTCACAAGAAAAGTTACGCTTTTTCGGACTGCTAATTATTTGTGACTGTATCTTTCGCATTTTCGAATTTTGTGTATCTGGAGTTGATGAAGCAACCGGTTTTGAAGATCGTGATTGTTTTATTGGAAGTCCATTATTTGTTGAATTAGGTGTACTACTAATTATTTTATGAGACTGAGGTGGTGTTATAGTATCAGTAGACGAAATTATTTTTGTGTTAACAGTTTCTGCACAACGAAATATACAGTATTAAAAGGAAAAATATAAAAATTATAATATATATTTACATTCTTTTTTCCGTTCATTTAATCATACCTCTTTTTTGCATATTTCCTACAGGAAGAACAGCTTTCATTGGTCCTTTTTTATTTGTGACATTAATATCAATCTTTTTCTTCAATTTATTTTTGACTGTACTTATTATCGACGACTTTTCTTTTCGCAAATCTAATGCTGTAGTCGTTTTTGTTATTTCTGCATCTGGAAATAAATATTAATCAATTACTTTATTAGTAGTATTATTATTAGTTAAAGCTGTAGAAATAAAACATTACCTTTTTGTAATAGATTTTTACTATTGCTTGTAATGATTTTTTTATTTGATGTTGATCTAATAAAACTAGGATCACTAGGAAAACGTTTTGTTACTTCATTCAGTTGAGATGTACTTTTGCTAGTAGATATTAAAGAATTGGATTCATTCTTAACTGGTGGTGTTTGAGATACTGATACACTTCTCCTGATAAAATTTTTACTAACTGGTTGTTTCTACAACAGGTATTGTTAATTTTATTATAGGAAAATTATTGGGAATTTTACAAAAGTTGATCAGTATTATGCTTACCTTTGATTCTACATTTAAACTTAATCTACTAGATGATTTCGATAGATATGACGAATGTGTTTTATTTTCAAGCTTTAATTTTGATTTTCTTGGAGTTTGTTGGTTTCTTATACAAACACTTTCAGTTTTTCTGTCATTAGCAAGATTACAATTATTGGAAGCAAAATTTAACACTTGTCCTAAATTTTCAAGTATGTTCAAAGTTGAATGTCCTTTAGTTTGTTCACATAATAATTTTCCTATATTTGCAAGTAGTTCAACTACTGCCTTTTCATTCGTTAAACTGTTATTTTTCTGTTTACTAGAAGAATCTTCTTCAGATATTTCTGGCACATTAATTTTATTTTCATCTTTCTCATTGTTTATATTAGTACCTGCTTCTGTTTTTAAAATTTCACATTTGCATTCACATTTATTATTTACATCATTCAGGTGCTTTTGATTATGAATACATTTATTTGTATTTACATTGTTAAAATTTACGTTTTTAATGAATACTGATTCTTTAATACTTTCTGTTGAATCACCAATCAAATTATCTTCTTGACTATGTTCCATATTATTTTCTGCAACATTCTTTATTATTTCTAAATTGCTACTTGATTTTTGTGGACTTTTTGCTAAATTATTGGTTATATTAAGACACGTAGTTAATAATTCAGTATTGTTCTCACAATTGATGCCTAAAGCTTTTTCCAAATTTTCCAATAATTTATTTGCTTCTGTATTACTTTCTGTTTCAATTAATTTCTTAAGATCTAATAAAAGTGTTATTGCTGTAAGACGTTTTTCTGTTGATACTGGTTCAACAAGTTCCATTTCTAAATTTTTCACATTTTCTTTTACTTTATTATTAAATTCGTCTTTTTCATCATTGTCTTTATTTTCTGTAACTTTTACATCTTTTGATTTTGTGTCAGTCCCATCAGGAGATTTCGGTAATTCAATTAAATTTTCAACTGAAGCTTCATCATCAAATGCTGGCAATAATTCTAATGTCCATGAAGGATTGTTAGTAATGAGATCATCAATGCTTGCTAGATCAGAAAATATAACTTATATTTAACTTACGTACAAAATCTACATATCAATGTTGCTTATTATTAAACAATATTTTGATTTACATATATATATATTTATTCTAATTTATGTTTTTACATTACTTAAAAAAAGATCCTTTTTATTTTATTTTCCTCATTTCTAAATTTTAGTAAATCAATAGTTTGTTGTATAGTAAACAAGTTAATAAGAGTTTGATTTTTACAAGCAACATCAATATTACATTTATTATATTCGAAGAGAGTAGAATGTAATGTGAACTTACACTCAGAACTGGTTCTTAAAGCTAATTCTTCAAATGTTCTTGCAAGAACTTTTGCTTCTTGAAGTATTGATTTATTAATTTTATTCCCTTCCTACAAAGTAAAATTAAATACAGAAATACCTTGTAAAAAATTACTTTTTATGCATAAAGGAGAAAACTTACAACAAATACAGAATCTGATGATATATCTGAAAAAGAACTTTTAGAGTTTTCTTTATTACAATTATTTTCTGGTGTAAATACATCAACATCTATTAATTTACTATTTATGCCACATACACTATTTTTTTCCATTACAGTTACACATTCTTTTATACCATTGGAAGAATTACATGTGAGTTCATTGTTAATATTTATGGAACTTTCAGGAACATGAATCTCTGATATTCTGGCTTTGAGTTTTTTAAATTGATCTGTTAAATCAGACATTGAAGTTTTTGTTGATATATTTATTACTGTTGATGTTACATCTTTTGCTGCTGGTAATATTGATTTTTCTTTATTAAGCACTATATTTTCACTTGATTTTGTATTTTCTGATTTTTCTGATGAACAGCTTTCTAAAAATGTCCGATTAATAGTTCCATTTGATAACATTATTGATGAATCAATTGAAATTGAAGAAACAGAATTTAATTTAGGTATAGAAGAAATATTTGATAAACTGGAAAATATAGAACTTTCATTAGAATGGTTTTTTATAAATCCTTCATTTAGCATGTCTGTTGAATTTGAAGAAGATTTAATACTTCTACTGTTAGAACCAATTCGCAAAGTTCCAAGTGATATTTGATTTAAATATTGTGATTTTTTTGGAGATAGTGCCTCTCCTTGCGAAAGAGACCGCCGAAGTTTTGGAATTTTCAAAGTTGTATCAGGTAATGGAAACTGTTCAAAACTTATTTTATCTTCTTCCGTATGTATTAACATTTTATCTTGTAAAGTAGATTTTATTTGGTTCTTATATGATTTGTTATCTACTTCGAATAATGTATCATTCATCACAGATTGATGTAAAATGGATAAATCAATATATTGAACATCAATGGTAGGTATGACACTATCTGATTTCAAATCATCTTTTAATGCATTAGTGTTACTTGAATCAACAGTTATACTTTCATTAGATATTTTATTAGTAGCTACATTGTTTTGATTTAATTCATCATTAATCAAAGAATCATCTAATGTTTTATTTATTTTTAACTTTTGCTTATGCATCTTTTGTTTATGAACATAGTTATCTGTTAAATCAAAAGAAGAAGTTCTAAATGAAGTATTATTTTTGCATTGTATTCTCATTGCTTTCTCTAAGGTCATTTCAAATGGATCATCCTTCTTTTGTATATATTCTGTAGTTTTATGCAGTACCATATCAAAAGGATTATTTTCTAAACTATCACGTTTTCCTATCATCAAAGAGTTTAATTCATTGGTTCGAATATTATAATTATTGCATATAGTATCTGTAGGAATTGGTATTAAAGGCGATGCAAGTCTTGAGCTTAATGAACTCTTTCTGTCAGGACTATTTAAATCTATAAGATCACACATTTTTATGTTTTTTATTTATAATATTCACGATCTTCGTTTTCAGTAATGGTATTACGATTCTTTCATACCAGTTAAATGTTATTTATTAAAAACGTATCGAAATTTCATGGTATTATTTTATATTATTATTTGCAAACACCGTTCTCACAACTTATGAATATTCAAATTGTTTCTCGACAAATGCATAATTTTTTAATACTTATTAAATATTATTTTAATTATCAATATCTAAAAACCATTTGTGTTATACGGATACCAACTTAAATATAAATTACTTTTTTTTTAATATTCACGTACTCAAACAGTAACGTCTACCTACAGTTATTAGATACTTCAAAAATTCCTACTTCTCTGCCATCTGGTGGACATTAAAAAATTAAACAATGAACGAGATTTATTTACAACGTATTTCAAAATCGTTTTAAAAAATAAAAATGAATAAATAATTAAAAGTTTTTAATAACTTTAAAAATGTTATTTCACAGTTAGTTAATTTCTGAATCTTAAAAGTTATATGGAAAGTAATATTTAAAAGTTATATTGACATATATTCCCATATTCCCTGAAAATATTCATATTCTAGTCGTCATTAAACATCAAGCTTCTGCTATCAGAAACCAACTAACTATATATACAGAATTTCAATCATTAATGTTGTTCACTATTACGTTCATTGATATATTTATCGTATGAGCAATCATGATACGTTATTCTATTTTAATTTCATAACATATTACGATACCTTATTTTAGTTTTTTTTTTTTTTTTTTTT